CCCAAGTCTGTGACTGTAAACAGAGCTCTCCAGAAAGCATTATCTCCTGATCTGATAGCTGAGGGGCCAGCTGAAGGTGAGGCCATGGGAAGTATCTGGTCCCCAGCTTCTTGCTGCTTACAGTCAAACAAATCCTCACACTACAGAGAAGTCAGTAAAGAGTCTTTAGCAGAGGATCTTTAAATCTTGACCTGCTGTTCTCTGGGTGTTCAGAGACCTCAGCCATCTTCAGACTTCAGCTGGCCTACAGAAGGGCAACAACTAGCAGGGGGACCCCCGCTTCCTTCCTTCCCACAGCCCCTGGGCTCCCGCCCCTATGGGGCATGGGGGATTTCAACCTAAGGTGTGATCTGCAGCTCACCTATATCAAAGGCTTGAAAGCTGTTAGAAAAGGCAGTGAGGAGCAGTTCCAGCTTTTGCTGTGAGGGTACACCATGTTTTTGTGACAGGCGATGGGGCATGAGGGACCTGTGCCAGCTGTACAAGCTGCCAAGGCAGGCTGGGGCAACAGCAGCCTCTGGCAGTGCCGAGAACAGTCTGTGGAGACAGACTCCATGCTTTACTTTGGTGCCAGCCTCAGGTCAGTGGCTAAAGGGCTTGTGCACTTGCCAAGTAGTCAAACAATCTGTGTGGGAAGTTGCGCCCTCCTGCAGGCACAAGGAAGAAATTTCGAGTTTCAGCCACTTATTAATGTTGGATCTGAGGTTTCATTGTAATATTGCTGCCTTCAGCTACTGCTGGGTGTTTGCAGGAGGCTGCTGCTTCATAGCTCATCCAAACCATGAGTATAACTTCAGCGGTGACCTTGCTTATTTACTTATTTATCACAACAGCTCAGGTCTCTGTAGTAGCTCTGCCAATCCCAAATATCCAAGTGAAAAGTTCAGTGCTTCAGTCATGTGCTGAGCTTAGAAAAATTTACTTTAAAGAAGTATTTGAGGCTTTGTGTTTGCATTTGGTTTTCCAGGTATTTGGGTTTGAAAGCTGTTTAAGAAACAATTTAGATCCTCTTCGTCTGCAACTCCAGAAGCTTGGCTTTATTTTAAGGAGGGCACCAAGTATTACAAGGCCTTTTGCCCACTTTCAGTAACCTGCCCATATACAGAGCAGTGCTTTCCAACTCCTACCCGAAACGGCTAAATTAACGTTTGGTTTCTTCTTTTCCTTAGACTATTTGCATTCTCTCCAGCAGGTGGTAGCAGCCGCCTTTGAGCTGTGCAGCTTTCCTGCCTGCTGCCGCAGAATTGCTGCCCTGTGATTTATGTCCCCGGCTGCCCTTGGCCTCACTTGATCTCCTCACCCTCCGCTGCATGCCTGAACAATCCTGTGGAGGAAGATCTGCTGTTTAGGTCTAGAGTGTGCACTAAATTTACCAGCAGCGTAAAGCGCAGCAACAGGAGGTAATAGCACAGCATCATGAGAAAATGTGAAATGTCTCACTGTTGTGTATGATTTACTCCTTGTGGTTTCACAGCACTGTCATGTTCTACCCATTATGGATGGGGGTCTCATAGGTGAAACGATTCAGGGTTATGCTTTCTAAATATAAAATTGAAGATCTAAGGCCTTGTCTAGATAGCAGGATTAGCTGAAGTACTGACAAGTCACAGACAGGCTGTGACTTCAAATGAAATTGAGAATCATCTGCTTTATTTCCACAGCAAGTCCTCTGGTATGCCAGTGTAATATGATAGTTTTGTGGATGCAATTACATTATCCTCTGATATATGGCCTCTGCTTGTTAGCAGCTGATTGAGCTGCTTTCCTCACTCAGTAAAAGGTTGTGCTTATGTTGACAAACATCTTGGTTTTGATGATGAGTGGTTGAGTGCTATGGGGCTTTGTGTCTGTTTGTGGGGTTTTTTTTCTTTTAATTAGCAGCTATAGTTTCATTATTTGTATATTAAACCACTGATCCTATAGGTGAGGACTTCGGTTGTCATAGTTTCTGGTTTTCAATATTCTGTATAAGTAAAAGGAATGTTGGGAAGAGCTCCGTTTATGTGAGTAGGTAAGGAAAAACCTTAAAAGACAAAGTATAAAAACCTCTTTGCTTTCCCAGCCATATTTTCCATACCAGGTATAAGAGGTGAAGCTCTAGGTATATTATAAACCACCTAGAAGTGTAGCAATGGGCCAAGAAGCTTGGATAATATGTTTTAGGGCATATGCTTAAGTATCTGTTTGGGTGTTGCTTACTTCAAAGCTGCAACTAGCACCTGACTTTTGTTTTTGTAGTGTTTTGCATTGTTGGGCCTAGGCATGTGAAATAGGTCCTTTGCCTGAGAAAGTATCAAGGCACGAAACTTCTGCTCTTAGTCACCAACTCCCACACAAAGCTCTTCTGTGCTGGTTGTTATGAGTCTTCTCCATCCAGGGTAAGTAACAAGAAGACTCACACAACTCAGGCAGGGTTAGCTACAAGATCCAGCTAGCTCCTCATCCCACCTGAGCAGGAGCAGGCACTTCAGGGAAGACACAAGATGTTCTGTGTGGATCATTCGGTAATTAAGCACATGGCTGCAGTTCCCTAGGGTATTCCTAAATACCATCAGCTGAGGGTTAGCTTATGGTCTGGAGCTCTCCATGCCTTCTATGGTTGCATCTAGCTTTGTCCTTGCAGTAATGCAAAAGCTATAATTTGTCTCTCACACCTTCTACATTGAAAAGAAAATTCTTTCTTTACTCTTTTGCAAACTTCTTTGATCTTTGTTACCACTTGCTATTTGCTATTTAATCTAGGAGCTATTTTGATGCTTGGGTGGTGGGAAGGAGTGTTTACAGAAGATTTACAAGCCTTGCAGTTAACACTGTTTTCCTTCTGGAGCATGTCACAGTGTCTAAAGGCTAATCTCTTACTTTTGAAGCTGTGGTTTATGGCAAATGTATGAATTAATGCTATCTTCCTTTCCATGTTTTGTTCAGTGTACAACGAGGAAGAGACTTTTGGGGATTTTAAATCATTCCTGTTCATTAAGAAGTTTGCTTTTCAGGCTTGTAATAAGAACTTCCTGTTTGCGGAGTGAAGTGGCTACAAATCCTTGTATGTAATGACAAAACCCACCAAAAGTAACACCCATCCCTGCTGAGACTGTGCAATGCCACCTTGACTGACAGGTGATAAGAGTCCTGACCAGCCTCACCGGGGACCTCCCTCATCCTGCCCATGTGCCTGGGAGCTCTATTTCGGCTCAGGCTGAAAGGCAGGGGATCTGCTGGCTGATGTGGTGCCCTGACAGTGAGCAAGCTTCTAATTTTTCATTACCCTACTGGTCAAAAGAGCCTGGGTCTCAAACCATGTTTTAGGTTGTGGGACCCCCAAGTGGAATGAGCTTGTTCCTCTTGGACTTGAACACGCTGCTGTGTCTGAGGTGAGCAGCTCCTTGCACTGGTAAGGTCTGTGGCATGTTTGTGCTGAGATGGGGTTGGAGACTCAGGGGGTGGTGGTATGCTTTCCTTTATCTGTGTGGATTCCTCCTTGTGTGTCACTCTGAACAATAGCTGTTTATGTTCAGAATTAATATTACATTCCTGGTTTTTGAAAAGTGAAGTGGCCATAAGATCTACCTCCAACATGTTTCTTCAAAGAATGTCAGATTTTGGTCATGAAAAAACAGAAAGCCAAAATAAGCAGCCCTTTGAAAGATGGGTTAGACTGCCCGAGATGGGTGTGTCAGTGGCTTGCTTAAGCATTTAAAGCTATTTAGTTAAGCAGGTTCCCATTATTCGTGTAGGAGCTCTATCTGGGTGTCAATGGGCTCAGGAGAGACTGGTGTTTTGTGCGAGGACAGCAGGCTGCTCTTCAGGGGTTTGATCCTGACACTGCAATTGAGGTATCACAGTCTAACTGGTGTTTCTGCATGCTATTTGAATCTGCAGGATTGACTGGACTCTTGTCGTAGCGTTGTAGCAAGGGTTTTGGAGACCTGGGCAGAATGAGTACAGAGTTACTGATCCTGCTTGTCCGCCAGTGCTCTGTCTTGGAAAATACCAGTGAGGCATACCCTAGTGAAGGAACATTTGCCAGAAGAACTGCTGACATCCCATGGGCTAAAGCTGTAGAGGTGGTCTTTAACATCCCTGTTGTCAGGACTGGTGGTGTTCAAGGGTTTGTGTTGCTTTCCTCGACGCCTCTCTGCTGCTTCTCTTGCTATCGAGGGACTTTATGGTCTTGGGTGACAGGAGAGGTGACACATCCCTTACACTGTCTCACTTTAGGACAGGGTTTCCCAGCACAAAGCAGAGCTATGCTGCCCTACACCATGGCTCACTGTTGCTCTGGGTGGAGACTCTCTCTCCTTGCTCAGATCATGACCCTCCCATGCTCTTTTATGCTGTGTCTGATGTTCTTCACACTGCTCTGGCAGCCTGTCAGACTTAGGTTTTTGGACCTGTAGTGAGTCAAATCAACTTGAGGAAGGAGCTGATGGTTCTGGAGCTAGTGGTAGAGGCACAGCATGAGGCTGGTTGAAGGCAAGGAAGGAGCAGAGGGCTGCAAAGGAAATAAGAGGAAGAGTGCAACCTCCTCTTTGGGTGGATGTGCACTGTTACATAGGGCTTGTTTACTCTTGTTGCCTCAGGAACAGAGGCTCCTTCCCTCCCTGGTAGAGGCAGGCTAATGCCAGATGAATGTGTTATGTATTGCCTGGAAGAGCCTTGACCCTGCTGGAAGCTGACTCATGTGATCTAGGTCCTCATATTTGCCGAGAGTCTCCCTGAAAAGTGGCAAGCTGTCTCTGAGCAAGTGAGAGAAGCCATGCTACTTGTACTTCTTTGACCCTTGTATGGGGCAATATATAAACTGGGGTTGCAAGTATCTTTGAAATAAGATACCATTGTCACTTTGCTTTCCAAAGGTAAAGAGGCTAATAAATTTTATGGCTGCTGAGTTATCAACTTGTTAAAATATAAAGGAGAAAAAAGACAAGAATTTCTTCCTTCACAGCCCTAATGTCTAACAGACAGCACTCCAGGATTATCAATTCGTAGAGGCACTTATCATGAAGCTATTGTTAGGCCTGTTATTCCTTCAGTTGCTCTCCTCGGAAGGTAAGTTTTGAAAGGCCCTTTGAAAATTTGAGTTACACAGTATTTAGGAACCTATATTTTTAGTTGTTGCAAGGTGGGTGTATAGCAGGAGTCTTAGAAGCAAGATGAAGAAAATCTGTGAGTAGAACTGTGATCTTGCATGTAATTTTGGGTATGTTTGATCATTTTCAATAAGGATACATGCATTAGTTTGCACTGTTCTGGGGATGGACTGCATCTTAGGCAGCACTAAGGCTTTCTGATGGGGAAAAACATAATCAAATAATTAGACTGACAGTGAGATCTGTCCCAAAATGGTGCAGAAATTCAAGCAAGGGACAAAGGTTTTCTCTGCATTCATATCTGTGATCATCTTCTTTTCAGTGATTGTGATTTTGTGAATGGGTTAGGCAGCATCCTGGCACTCAGGGCATCATGGTTCAGACTTCTGCAAATTTCAGGGTAGGGGGGAGCCTTGTTCCCTCTACTGGGTCTGTGAAGTCCACATTTGGTGCCAGATGCCATTTTTGTAGGTGCTTTAGGACTAAAAATGCTGGGTATGTCTTGGCCTTACTGGGTCTGTGCTTCAGCTCTCTCTGCCTGTAAGAAAGTAATGATAAATAGTAATAGCGCTTTACCTTACCAGTAGGTTGTGAGGATAAGTATCTTCAGAGGATTGTAAGCTGCTCTGATAAATAACTAATTGTTAGGAGATTTTGGTTCCTAAAATAAACAGAAGAAATCCTCACATCTGAGCTTTTTATTTTGGGGGAAAAGATGCATGGTGAGTGCAGTTCCTGTGAAAATTTGATTCAGGAAAAAAATGTTGGTTGATAGCAGCCTGTAAAAATTATTAGCTGCAACAGGTTAACTTAGAAGAGCGAGAGAGGAATGAATAGAATCATAGAATCTTTCTCCCAGATTTTGGGAAAATTGTCAGAAAAGTTCTTTCCCTTTTTTTTTTTTTTTTTTTTCTTGTGATGTTGAGAAAATGAAAAACACAGACTAGAATCATTAAATGATAGAGTAAAGGAGTAATTATAATACTGTGAGCACCAGGAGTTAAAAAAAAAAAATAAAAATCATCCTATGGAAAGCATAAATCCAAAGCAAACTCTAGAAAACTAAAGAGGTTAAAATTTAATCAGCCAAGCCAAAAATGAATCTGAGGGGGAAACAATCATTACTGAAGGAATAAAAACTAATAAATCCTTTTTCAAATACATCTGAAAGAGAGAGTCTGTAGGGCTGACTTGATGTATAAAAGAAAGCTGAAGCCCAGCAGAAAAACTAAATTAATTTCTGTTTTCTTTGGTGTCCTCTACACAAGAGATTAAAAATGGCCTTCCACTAAGAGCCTTTCAGCACAGGGGACAAATATGGGAACCGTCAAATTGTTGAACAAATTGAGTACAAACAGTAAAAGAACTGCCAGTATTAGAAGTTATCCACCCAAGGGAGTGAGCCAAGCAGAAATATGAGCAAGTCCATTGTATTAACTGTGTCCATTGTATTAACTGTGGTGCAGAGTATTTCTTGAATCAGTCTTGGTGTCAGGAATGGAAGATGACAAATGTGAGAAGTTTTTATAATGGGTTCCATTTTAGAACCATCTGAGGAACTTCAGTGGTAATAGTTGTACAAAAGCAGTAAGGTTGTCTTCTTCACTAGGCACATTGGTGAGAACAGCATAAACAAGAGTGAACTGACTTGGCATAAATATAACAGGGGAGCTTCTCTGGAATTGATCAAGAAAATCTATAACATGCCCATGGATTGATTATTCAGCTGTGATGTATCTGAATTTCCACAAATCTTTTGAGTAAGAGTTCCTAAGGAAGCTGGCTGTCATGGTATAAGGATGAGGGCATCTTTGTGGGCCCCTGGTTAAAAGTTGGGGACTGAAGAATCAGACTGCAAATTTTCAAACTGTGAGAAGAGGGGAGAGTGAACCTGCAGAGGCATGTATTGATCTGTGTTGGGACATGGGCTCTCTGCATGTTCAGAATCTTGCTGATGCAAAACTATTCAGGATGCTTAGAATGAAAACTAAATATTCCACTAGTAGCTCCTGGATGTTAAAGGACAATTATTCTAAGCACAGCAAGAATCATCATGAGACTTTCTGGATACTGATGGCTTCAGTATGGTAAGCAGGGACAGCTGTGAGAACGCACTGAAGTTCAGCTGAGGATCCAAACCCAGACTTTGTGGCCATGTTTGTGGACATTTTAGGATAAACTAAAATCTGTGTGTATAAATCCAAGTGTATACTCAAGGAAAGAGAATAATGTTTACTGAACTAGCTACAGGCCTGACTACTGGCTCCACAGGCTATTTCATCTGTTAACACTCTCTACTAAGAGAATAAATTGCAGCTGTTTCTGCTGTACCACTATGGCAAACTCACAACAGTGTGATGTTGCTATCTAACTGTGGAAGATGTAGATTAATGTGAATTGCTCCTTTTCAAGGAGTTCCACCTTCCACATGTTCACTCTAAATTTTGACAGAATAAGACTACAGTGGTATATGAAACATGCTGAAGAGGAAAACGGGTAGAAAAGGCCTGTGAAGGATGAGGTTATCCACAAGCAGACCATCACCTGTGTGTATGACTTCATTGTAATCCACTATTTTCAACATCTCACCTGCTTATAATAACTAAAATCTTATTCTAGTGTAACAAAAACTAAGAAAATACATTTGGTTGTTGGGATGAGCCTCATCTTTGGAAAAAAAGGGCAGAGGAGAAAGGTTGCTCCTCTCCAGAATTCTATGGTTTTAGGTACCTTAAGTCTTTTGAAGTGTTTTTCTAAGGTAAAAAAAAAAATAGTTTAATTCATTCTTTTAATGTTTTTAAGGTAATGCAGATAACTTGGAAGAACAGGAGAAACTAAAGGTAAAGTATGAGTACAGCTTTATCTTTTTTTCCTTTTTTCAGTACCTATCATCACCTTTCTGGTTGTTGCTTCCTCTTAGGCAGGCAGAAGAAGGAAAAATACAGCTTGGTGCTTTAAACTATTAATTTCTGCAAAGAATAAATGCAAAGCAAATGAGTCAGCAATGTGATATTGCAGCTGCAAGATTACAGTACCTAATCAGGAAATAAAGGTTTCTCCGGGCAACGTTTGTTATTATCCTGTACGTAGATCGGTTGTGGTTAGCACATGTTCCTGGATTTTGTGTTGCTCTTTTTGAAACACAAGATTAAACTCTTCCTTGTGCTATAATGGTGCAAAGCATGTGCACCATTAAAGTCCTCCAACTGGGGACTAAGGGGTCCATGGGGACTGTGTCACAATACAGATTGTGGAGCCCTTGTCACAACACAGGTTTCACCTTTATGTAGTAGTGATGGTCAGCTAACCAAACATGGTTGTAGTGATGAGGGAAGGCGTAGTCAAGTCACCCTGGAGGGTTTGTCTTTCATCTCTCTTTAAAGTACTAGAAGTTGGGCCGTAACTACAGTTAGGATGTAGGAGGGCATTAGATAATGTTCCTAGTGGTACTGAGCTGTCACTCATGCTGAGTGAATAACATTACTCACATCCTTGCCCCAAATGTATCTCTTCCCCCCCCCC